AACCCGAAAACCTTCTTATATGCTACTTTCTCAGGAAACGTATGCACAGGAGATTTTATAGTGTGCAGGGATGGCCTCTTGTAAACCTGCCGCCACTCCAGTTGACACTAAATCCAAACTTAGTGCAGATGCAGGGCCACCTTTTCGGGATCCTACTTTGTATCGCAGTTTAGCAGGTGCTCTTCAGTACCTCACTTTCACCAGGCCAGATATTTCCTATGTGGTCACTACAACAAATTGGCCTTTGTGCCACGGGTAAAATCGTGGCACAAGTTTAAAATTTCCGTGGCTATGCAATTTAGCCACGGGAATTTTAAAATTTACCCCCGTAGCACAAGAGGCCGTGGCTAGTAATTTGCTACGGGAAAATGGATGTCGTGGCAAATTTTGATATTTATGCCACGAGTATTCCCGTGGCAAAGAAATTCTCTAGCCACAAACACTAATGCGGCTAACAAATTATTTGCCACACATTCTACCGTGGCTAAAAAACTTTGTTTTGACAAATATTATTGTAGCTAATAAGATTCTTTTCTCAAATTTTACTGTGGGTAGTGAACTTTGTTGCCATATATATTATTGTGGCCAATAAGGCTTAAAATAATTTTTTAAAAAACAATTGAATTTGTATTAATTTAACTTAGTGCAGAAACACAATAACACATACATATACACAAAAGTTACAAAAATATGTAATTTGTGTTTGTAACACACTAAAAATTAGATTATTACAATCTACAACTATGTTCGTGAACTCTTTAACTTAACATAATCTGTTGTGCTGATATTGATAAGGCAAGAACGCATCAATTCGTTGCTGCTGTGTGGAGTGTCCAACCAGTCTAGGGGATCTCACATATGTGAGCATTTTAATGAATTATAATGTGCTGCAGGATGACACTGAGCCCTTCTGACTCGTCATTGAAGTCCTATAACATCAAACAAAAAAAAGTGTTAGCCCATTTGAAATATCAACTGTAGCTCTTAAAGCAACCAACGACTATGCAAGGGATTTATAACAAAGATAGCCGCCTTTATAGTGAAAGGCCGACAGTAAAAGATGCAGCATCAGCATCGACTACATCAGCAACAATAACTGCAGTGGCTAGCTTGGTTGGATTAGCAGTGACAATGTTATGCATTCGCAATGATTGATTCTGTTATAAAGTGAGAATAAATAAAATCACTATTATAAGTTTGACTCAAGAAGCAGCAAGAGGAGAAGACTGCAGGGTAGCAAGTAGCGAAAGGACAAAGGCAGCAGCAGCTAGTAAGGGGAAGAAAAATAGTAGAGCAGTAGGCAAGGGAGGTGGAAAGGCAATAGCAGCTAGTAGGGGAAAAAAGAAAATGAAAAAGAATTAGATTACAGTCCAAGACTCCAAGTGAAACTTAAATTTACTAATCATAGGACAAAAACTCTCCCATATTTTGTAGCAAATGTTCGTCAAAATTAACAATAATATATACAAACCAATATAAATAAATGTATCAGCAAAATATACCCAGCAACAACAAAGCTCAGAAGACAATCTATAAGACAATGGGGCATAATCATAAAGCCAAACAACATCACAAGACTGAAGCACAAGAAAAAAAAAATTTATAAAGCAAGTTGTCCTTCAACTTTCACAGATTTCTTAATCTCATTCCAGGTCCTTAGAATTATTTTTATATACAGGGGATGCATGCAATACTGCAATGACAGTTATTCAGATGGTAGCACAATAATTAAGTTTTTATACATCATAACAAGCAGTATGAAATGAAACAAACTGAGTTAGAACAATGCCTTTCTTTTTTCAGTCAACCTGTAAAGATTTAAAATCATACAACCTTTCCATAAGGATATCACTGTCCATTCCTTTCCAGAAAGAACATCCTTTCTTATACAACAAATTACCCCATGATAAGCTTACCTGATAAACGTTATTACCCCCTACATACCAATAATTTTTTACTGTCTTAAACAAAAAAAGCAGAAAACAATCACTTTGATTGCAAGATTTGCAACTTAGGAGGAAACATTCAAAGAAAGTGTATGCAAACCATCACATATTCTAGAAAAACAAGTCAACCTCAAAGCAATTCAGGCCTATGAGTATACGACAGTGGACAAATTCAACAAAGTCCAACCTTTGAATTGCATATTCACAATGCATAACTATTACAGGAGGACCCTAAGTCAACAAGAATGTAAAAAACAATCGAATAAAAGCGAGCTGCAACAGATGATAAACCAAATAACTTAAACCATTACTGTGATTTAGCAATAGAAATTTAAACCTTTTTTTTTGCAAGTAAAAAACATCAATACAAAAATATAACAACCCAATAATAATAACTAGTAAGCTCATAATTCATGCCCACCCAAATTCCAAATTTCATCAACAACATATAAATTTCAGTAACACTAAAAAAAATAGCAAACTTGCAAACAAATATACACCAATTTAATATAAAACCCAGAAATAATACTAAATTTAATACAATTTGTGACCTTTTCTACATCCCTAATGCCCAATTTCATCAAAACCCAAGTAAACCCACTTTGAAAAATTAATAAAAAAATAATAAAAATGATAAAAATTGTACCCTGAGGAAAAGGTGAAACTTGAGGTATAAGGGTGAAAGACCGCCGTTTATTAGTGGAGTAAGCGGCCGTAGGATCAGTGTGATAATCAAATCGCAGCGGCGGAGAAGCATTTGCTGCGGAAGCGTCGGAATCCCGAGCCCCGGACCCACCCACGCCGTTGCGAACCCAACCCATCCAGCCCTAACCCCCCACCTCTGCCTCCGTCGGCGAAAACTTAGCCTCACCCAGCCCTGTCTCCGTCGGCGAAAACAACATCAATTGTTGCATCTAATCGCATTGCTCTTAGTCTTTCTCTCCTCTTCTCTGATTTCTCCATGATAATGGAAGATGATGGAGATTTTAGGGCGGAATTATACGAATTTTGGGTGACAATTGGGGGTTTTGAGTTTTGGTTGATTGAGATGCCTACTTGATTGAGAATTTGGAGGTTTTACGAGTTTAATAAGAAATTGGGGGTTCACGGGTTTCACGGTTACGTTATTTAACTTTCAATTTTTATAAATTTGTTTTCATATTTTTTTTTAAGTTCAAAATGTTCATAAATTCACTTTTTTTTTAAATAGTCATAAATTCACTTAAATTGACCTCAAATATGCCTATTTAAAATTAAATTCACTTAAATTGACCTAATATCAACATAAATTACCAAAATAATACCTATTTTAAATTAATTACCTAAACAATACGAGTAGCTATTACCTATTTAGAATTAATTAACATTTTGTTTCAAAACAAAAAATTAGAATTTGAGCGGAAAATATTTTCATGAGATAACGAGAAAATTTGTTCTAAAAAAACGAGAAAATTATTACTTAGGATAGTTGTCTAAATTTACCACGGAAAAAAACTAATCGTGACAAAATTGTAAAGTTTGTCACGGGAAAAGAGCTACTCGTTGCACAAAAGTAAAGTTCGCCACGGAAAAAGCGCTATTCGTGGCACAAGTGTGATATTTGCCACGGGAAAATAAGTACCCGTGGCAAAAAATAATTCTTCTTATTTAGGTTTGTATCGTAGTTCATTTTTCCCGTTACTAGATGAAATTATGCCACGAATTTGGAATTCCCGTGGCATAATACGTGGCACAAGTGGTGATTTGCTGTAGTGGGTGCAGCAGGTGTGTCTATTTATGCATGATCCTCGGGAACCTCATTATGAGGCATTGAAACGCATTAAGCGTTATGTTCAGGGTACCATTGATCACGGTTTACATTTATATCCTACTGTTTCACATCGACTGATTACTTACACTGACGCTGACTGGGGAGGTTGTCCAGACACCCGACGTTCCACATCGGGCTACTGTTGTTTTCTTGGGGACAACCTCGTATCTTGGTCATCTAAGCATCAACATACATTATCTAAGTCGAGTGCAGAAGCAGAATATCGAGGCGTCGCAAATGTTGTCTCTGAGGCGTGTTGGCTCCGTAACCTTTTACTAGAGCTACATTGTCCTCTACGGCAGGCTACTATCGTTTATTGTGATAATGTCAGTGCTATCTACCTTTCTAGAAACCCAGTACATATCCAACGCACCAAACATGTGGAGATGGATATTCATTTTGTTCGAGAAAAGGTTGCATTGGGACAGGTTCAGGTTCTCCATGTTCCTACTAGGTATCAGTTCGCAGACATTTTCACTAAAGGCCTACCGCGAGAATTATTTCTGGAATTTCGATCCAGTCTTAGCGTACGACCTCCTCCCGCTACGACTGCGGGGGTGTGATAGATATTATATTTAGGATAATATTTGTCGCAGATTAGGATATATTTAATGTATATTTTGTATGTTTATCGTATCTAGGATTCCTAACGTGATTAGGCCTAGCATTGTAAACTCTATATATTTGATCAATGGTACACACTCCAGATTGAGGAGTTTTCCCGAAATCTAACATTCCTTTACTCTACTTCTCATTGTTCTGACTTTCGAGTACTTAGAAGCTTTTTCCGGAATTTCTTACACTTCATGTCCTATTTTCTGGCGTATCTTGTGCCGGACCCTAGTGAGTTGACTTTGGTGGATGTGGGAGGGGTTGATGAGTCGGGATGTGAGGGGGGAAATCATAATGTCTTCGAGTTGCCGGAGAGGGACGTCGAGGAGGGGCTATTTGGGAAGCATAAGAGGTGGAATTCCACCGGACATGTCGCCATAGTTGTTGAACCGGTGGTGGAGATGAAGAGTTGGGAGAGATTCACGTTAAGGTTATCGGAGGAGGATGTTGGGAAATATGGAGTGCAAACAAGCGAATTTAGAAGAACTAGGAGTTCTATAGATATACATGTCATAAATTGGATTTCGAATTGAAGATGCATAACGTATTTTTTATGTATTAGCTTTGAATGTGATTGTCATTAATTTCCCAAATACTCGTTTTAGAATTCAAGTCTCTAATATTTTTATTGGATCATTGTACAAAGGAACAATTATTATTGAAATATATTGATAACAATGTTTTGGCGAGCATAGCTAGTTAGTTATTCCAAGTTGTAATAATTGATAGAGCATAAAATCAATCTTGTGTCGGTGTAGTCCTTCCGAGTGAGACTGACATCAAACAACTTGATAGAGTTAAGCAACTTTTGTTTCTACAATTCAATGCATTTACAATTTTTTCCCCCAAATTTACAAATTATGCAAATTTCAATCCAAAGTTAAAAGCATTCTATTGATCTTAAGCTCCACAAAGAAACTAGTTGCAAGTATAAAATAATTCAAACATATTGTTGTTGCTTAGGGTTGAGGTTGGCGTATGTAGAGGCATCACTAGCAAACTGAGAATTAGCCATGCCAATGCCACCATGATATGGAACTGGAGTTGATGAACGGCGATTGGTCGAGAAGCTGTAGGAGGAAGACATGCCAAGGATACAAGCAAGAAGTGCTAGAACGCCACCAGAAGCAAATAATCCAGTTTTTAGGGTGTAGCAAAGTCCTATTGAGCCGAGAAACTCTTGACGAGTGCTAAGATTAGCAGCATATACTAGGAGACCAATTCCTATAATAGAACCAACCCTGTCACAAATGACAAATTAACAAGAAAGAAAGTTGGCACCAATTCAATAAGGCAAATAACTCTTATGCTCTAGGGTATTTGAATTCGCGGTACCTAGACCTTAGGGAATATTCATTTTGTTCATACCAATTAACTTCCCTCCACTCGAACTTTAAAGTTGGAAATAAAGCTAGAAATGGACCGAGATATGTAGTAAGCCCATGTGTCGTGCTAGCTAGCATGCCTTGGCTCAAATAGGTTATGCCTAAATGGATAATAAAAAAGTCGTTTCGTGCTAATCATTAAAGAAAGAAGGCCTTGCACATGTGACATGACATGACATGCCAATAAACCATCTTATTAGTTTTAAAATTAGTGGGCCGACATGCATTAGTAATGATAATAACTTTAAAAATTATTAAGCATAGATATGGACATTTGCTCTACATATTGTATCTTTGATTTATGCGAAGTACTAATTAATTTTTATATAATATGACGAGTAAGATTGATTAATTCCAAATTTGTACAAATGATACCTGGTAAATATCTTTAATTTAGATGATTACCAGGATAAAATGAAAGCAAAGGTTACTCCAGGGGATTGACTGTTGGAATCGCTTGGCCAACAAGCACAACGAGCTACAACACTAACAGTAATTTGAGCGATAAATGTTAGCAAAGCTGCTGTGTATCCAAGTATGTTTGCTGGAGAGCTTGGGTATTCACATGTATTCAATTCCGTTATATTAATATCCGATTCCTAATAATCATCAACATGAACAAAATCATAATTTATAATTCAAAACAAGATCATAACTTATTACGAAGAACATTCTGACTATCTGAATTTTGTTGTGTTTTTCATTTTTACAACGAGTATGTGGATTGTTTAATTTATTTCTTCATTTTAAAATAAATTTATGCTTAATTTCTTTTATTCAATTCTCTTCATCACAAACTAATAATGTGATGGTATAGTAAACACAAACAGTCATATATCGTCACTTAAAAGTTCAACTATTGTTATTATTTCTTACTACCTCCATCCCCGAAAGAACGACCTATTTGGCCTAATTTTAGTCCCAAAAAGAATGACCCATTTGCATTAAAACACTCACCAATTTGCAACAATATTTGTGCAAAATTAGCTTTTCTATATAAAAATTTGATTTTCTCTCTCTACTTTTTTACAAACCCCATATAAATTTATCTTTTCAATATACTTTTACTTCTTTTGATTTAACTTTCTTAATACCCGCGAAATCAACCCAAAAGATTCGTTCTTTCGGGGACGGAGGGTGTAATAAACTCGCAAATTCTTTTCTTATACACATACAATATAATCTATTAACAAGCTAGCTAATTGTTGAGGAATAATAATGAAAAGAAATTCATTAAATTAGACAAATATATTACCTTAATCTTAGTGGCTTCAGCAGCAAAAGCAAGAGCAGCAGCTGCCAAACCTAGGAAACCCACAACAATGAACACCACAACTTTGCCCTCTCCCATGAATATTAACCTTAGCTCCCTTGATTATTGTATAATCCTCAGCTTAATTAGTTGCTCAATAATAGTCCTAATATACATTATTAATATATATCTTCTTTAATTTCTATTTTTATCTGACTTTCCTTTTCATTATTACCTTAATTATTTTAGTATTAGAGCTATTTATTAGTTTAGTCACTAGAAGAACTAGCCTTTTGTACAGTTGTACTTCTACGTTGACTAGTCGTAAATATTAAAATAAAAAAAATACGTGTTCTCAAATCTCAAGTATTTTTAAGTCATTCTCTTAAAATAAAAAAATAAACCAAAGCTGGCAAAGTTTGACTGATTAATTGATTATGTTAATTTTTTCAATATTCCTGTAGATTTATTGTTAGATACTAGATATAGATGGAATAATGCCCTAACCTGGGTGTATATAGTACTTTTTAATAGATTATAAAACATATTTCTGGGTCTCAATCATTAGCTTAACCTTTTGGTTGAGATGATCCGTTAGCATGGTATCAGAGCCAGCGTGACATAAAGGTTATGAGTTCGAATCTCATCCCCTTTTTTTAAAGTGGAATTAATTCGCACCGGGTATGAGTGGGCTTGTGCTGCATCCATATTTCAAGCCCAAAGAGGGCCTTTTATGGGCAATTTTTAAGATGCAACATGGTGCACCTAGAAATAGGTGCACCACGCCTATACTTTTGAATAATTAGTAAAAAAATCTGAATAATTGCAAATTTTGAACATGTAGTAAAAACATCCGAACATCGCAAATTTTGAACATTTAGTTAAAAAATATGAACAGTTGCAATGCATCATGCATATACTTTTTAACATTTATTAAAAAAATCTGAACAATCGAGAATTTTGAACATTTAGTTAAAAAACCTAAACATCGCCAATTTTAAACATTTAGTAAAAAAATCTGAACAATCGCAATGCACCACGCCTATAATTTTAAACTTTTAGTAAAAAAATATGAACAATAACAAATTTTGAACATTTAGTAAAAAAAATCTGAACACTCGCAAATTTTAAATTGTTACGAGTCAGACAAATTTTGAACTGACTTGTAATAATTTTATAGTTTTGTAATTTAAACTGAACATTTAATGTATACAAAATGAACATTTCTTAATAAAATATGAACATAAAAATTGCATGTTTATGTTCTATTTTTGTGACGTGTTCATATTTTTTACTAAATGTTCAATTTTTGTAAAATGTTCAATTTTTTTTACTAAATGTTCAAAAGTATATTCGTGACACCTATTTCTAGGTGCACCATGGTGCACATAATACTAATTGCCTTTTATGTGAGGGGGAGTAATAGATTATAAAACATATTCCTGGCCTCAACCATTAATTAGCTTAAACTTTTGGTTGATATTGTCCGTTAACACCTTTAATAAAAATTCTTCAACTTTTCTAGTAATCATATACCTCCTCGGTTTTTTGCTGATAAATTATGAAAATATAGATATGTAAAATCTTGTTATATTCGATTTAATTATGCGAAGTATATGTTTTATTAAAAAAAATCTTATCAATAATTTACTTTAACACATCAAAATTTTATAATCTTATATATTTGTATTGTAAAATACATTAATTGACAAAATTATGTACTCCATAGTTATTATTAAAATTAAAAACTTGAAGAAGTAGAAATTAAGAGTTTGCTTGTAATTACGTTTATTGCTTTCAATTTCATTTTTTTAACTACAAATAAATATATCAAAATTAGAAAAGGTAATTTAACTTTTTTAATATCACTTTTTAAATTAATTTTAAGTTTGAATACAATTTGTATCATATGACTTTTTTTAATGTAAAAATGAAACTAAAAATTGACAATGATATGATACGGAACGAGCACTAAGGGTCTGTTCTCTTACGTTGAAATTCAGTTCAGTTCAATTCTGTTCAGCTCAATTCAGTTCAGTTCAGTTCAGCTCAGCTCATCTCCTAATTTCCTCCTCTTATAAAATATTCAATTCAGTTCAGTTCAGTTCAGTTCAGCTGATTTCAGTCAATGAGAACAGGTCTGTTCTCTTACGTTGAAACAGTTCAGTTCAGTTCAGCTCAATTCAGTTCAACTCAGTTCAGTTCAGTTCAGTTCAGTTCAGCTCCTAATTTCCTTCTCTTATAAAATATTCATTTCAGTTCAGTTCAGTTCAGTTCAGTTCAGCTCAATTTAGTTCAGTTCAGTTCAGCTCAATTCAGTTCAGCTCAATTCAGTTCAGTTCAGTTCGGTTCAGTTCAGTTCAGCTGAGTTCAGTCAATGAGAACAGGCCCTAAGTGGGCGTTTTAAAAACCTATAACCTTTCATATCAATTCAAACATGCATAAATATTGAATCTTGATAAATCCAAAGAATGCCTAGCTTGTAGTCATTGATGTGTGAGAATTGAATCTTCTAAATTACGCTCTATATTGTCTCACGGAGTAATTGATTTTGTCAAAATGAGCTATTAGATGATTAGTTAAACAGAGGTAGTATTCAATTGTTATATGACGTATGCTTGTACTAATGTACATTTTAAGATATTTATGGTCAATGTTATGTATTGATAAACATGTACTGATGTACAATATTCAAAATGATAAAAAATTTTAGAAACAGAAAAGTAGCCTTTTAAATAAATTCACCTTTGATTCAATGCTAGTAACACACCTAAAAAAAAAAAGACTCTCCTTTTAAACTTTAGAAGCACCCTTGTTAGGACATAAAGTCAAACATATTGTTGTTGCTTGGGGTTGTTCGAGTACGTAGAGGCAGCATCAATGCTAGAATCAGCCACTGCAACGCCATCTTGATGTGCAACCGCTTGGCCGGGTGCTGGTTGACTATTAGCCCAGAAGTAGTAAGCAGAGCACAGACCTAGGGTGCATCCAATAATTTCCATCGAGCCACCCGCGTCAAATAAGCGAGGTTTTAAGGTGTAGCAAGCTTTTGTTGCAGCTAGAAATTCTTGATGACCGCTGAGATATGCACCAGATAGTAGGAGAGCAATTCCGGAACCAGAACAAATCCTGTAACGAATGACAAAAACAAAAAATTTACATATACGAAGTATCAATTATCCTAGGGGCACGTTCAAGTACAACCCACGTTGTAAAAAACATGTTACAATTGTTTAAATTTAAAGAGGCATAAAAACACTTCGTATTATTTTAAAGAGACGCACTCGTTAATTTCAGTTTTGTTATAATGATACAACAAGAAATTCCTTGAAATTAACGCGTTAATTCCAAGTTTTGTAATAATGATACAACAAGTTTGGACTTAAAAAAACCAAATGAAAACGATCAGTTACGTACCATGATAAAATGAAGCAAAAAGTTGGATTAACAAAGGATTTTTGAGTGTAGGTATTATTTGTCCCGCGACAAGCAGAGCGAGCTATAGCACTTATAGCTATCTGGTTAGCAAGTACGAGCGATGCTGCTACGTACCCAAGTATGCTAGCCGGAGAACTTGGGTATTTGCAAGATATCATAATTATTATAAGATATGATATGTATTGACTCTTAATCATACAAATCTTGCCTGATATATAAAGATGGTCGTGACATCTACACACTTTATTACCTTAAAACTTGAGTTTGTAGGATCGATCGAATCAAACTAGAGACACTTTGATATTGGTATCTCCTTACCCTTGTGTTATTCTAAAAGGGTTATTTATCCTATTAACATAGACCATGTTGAACCGTAGTGGCGGATCCAGAATTTTCGAACTGGTGAGTCACCATCAATAACTGATCACTTGTTTCAATCCAAAAATTATATATATATATATTTATATATATATATATATATATATATATATATATATATATATAAAATATATTTCACCTAAATGATTTCAATCCAAAAATAGGACATAAAAATCCATACTACAATAGTACTTAAAAATTCAATCTTACAAGTCGAAAGTACGTACTCCAAATAAATAACATGTTACAAACAAATAGTACTATAAAATTATTACATTAAATTAACTTTATTGTACAAGAAATATTAAAAAATTATAAGGAGTACACAAAAAATAAAATAAAATAGTGAGATAACTTAAGAGACCTGTTATTAAATATAACAGGTCTCTTTAATGAAAAAGAAAGCAGCGCAACAAATGTACATATACAATGTCAGCAGAAAAGAGACCTGTTATTTAAATAACCGGTCTCTTTGTTATTTTAAAAAATCTAGCAGTGTTAGGCAACAATAGCAGCAAAGAGACCGCCTATCTATTATAGGAGGTCTCTTTGATATTTTTTTTTAAAAAAAATCATTTTTTTGCTGGTGAGTCACGTGACTCACAATGCACCTACATAGTTCCGCCCCTGTTGAACCGTGAGAGATTTTGTCCTTACTCTAACTTGTCTAAAAAAACATGTCCTTCGTCATCAATTAATTACAACATTATTGGAAGTTTTAGGTTTTATTAAACTCAAGAACAATTGGAAAAAATGGCTTAGATTTATATTGATATTTACCACAACATATATACAAAATACAAAAGAGACTTGACATGTCTAAAACTTCTAACAAGATAAACCAGACATAAATACAATATTAACATTAACATACATATAATCCAAACCGACTACTAATAGGTTTGCCATAGCACATTTTATACCAATAAGGCTCCGTTCACTCCACCTTATCTTTTCTGAATTGGAATTATTTGAAACAAAATTATTTTTGTTGAACTAAAATTATTTTTACTGATTTTCTGTTATAATTCTTCTTTAAGAAAACTGAATTTTACTGATCTGAACTTATTTTTACCGTGCTGAAATTATTTTTATTGAACTGCAATTATTTTTACTAAACTGAAATTATTTTTACTTAATATTTTTTTTTATTGAAATGAATAGGGCCTAATAATGTAAACCATTATATTTAAAATAAAAATTATAAAAAAAAGCTAATAATATGAAATTATACAACATGGTGACTCTAACAATAATACTCGGTGACTACATTTTTGTTTTTCCTAACATATAAATCATAAAAGAAAGTACAAACAAATGTGTGCATTAATGCAAAATTTCAAAGAATGCGATTAGGAGAGAGCACACAAAATTACAAAGAATGCGATTAGGAGAGAGCACATATAATATTATATAAATTTTGAATTTAAATCTACAAATTGACATTAGCTAGAATAAGTAAGAGTGTCTTCTATTCATAGTTTCCTCTAGGGTTTTTCCCTTGAAAGGGTTTTTCCTAGCCTCTTTTGTTAGGGTTTTTTCTTCAATCCTTCCCTACTTTTCCTCATCTCCTTCATTCTTGATTTTTATTTGTGAAATTTGTTGGGGCTTCCACTGGATTTTACCGGTGGGAAGCCCCAAAATCTCTTTAATTGCTTTCAATAAAAAGATACCATCCTTAAGATGATGTTCATGGTAGGGATTTTAATTACTTGTTTATTGAAGAATGAAGATCGAAGGTTTCGCAATTTCTACCGGAGTTTAGAAGACCACGGAAGGATATTCATCCAAAAAATTATGCATCTGCAGATCTTATGCCGAATTAGAGCGAACTCACAGATTGTATTGCTTCGAATGAAGTTTTTTGTTAAGGCTATTATCAATCAATTCTGCGATGTTATTTTTAGGATTTTATATGGTTTTGCTGGAATTTTAAATTTCTCAAAAATTGATTGTAAGTGCCGTTTGGCTATTTTATAAATGAAATCTTTAATCTTCCCGTCAAAAAAAAAAAAGAGTGTGTTCTATTCACTTGCTTTTTAATCCCCTAAAATTAATTTATCTCAGCTCACAAAATAAATATGAGCTATATATTTGTGACCCTGTGAGTCTAGAAAGATCTTGAATGAAATTGAAAAATCAAGTGATATTATATCTATAAAGTTTTCGTATAATATCAAAAATATGTGATATAGAAATATCTAGACTAGTGTAGAAAAATCTAGGTTAGATGGTAAGTTAAGTAAGAGAGCTCCCATTGATGTGGTGAGGAAAGTACTCACCAAGATAGTGAGGCCAGAAAAATGAGCTTTCACAAATTAAATATGAGTTGGGCTCCGTTTACTTCACCTATTTTTGCTGAATTGAAATTATTTTTACTGAACTTAAATTATTTTTGTTAAACTTAAATTATTTTTACTGAACTGAAATTAATTTTACTTAATTGAACTTATTTTCACTGAACTGAAAGTATTTTACTGGTTTTCAATTATAATTCTTCTTTAAAGTTACTGAATTTTACTGATCTGAACTTATTTTTACTGAACTGAACTTATTTTTACTTAATATTATTTTTTTAAAGGTGAAGTGATGAACAGGGCCTTAGCTTGTCTCCACCAACATTATTGTACAATTTATGATGTAATTTATGAAAACATACCGTTGTATGTCATTCGATCGGGTACATCAAAGTTCTACATGCACCTAAATTCTATTAATTAGTATGTATGTAGTAATAAAATTTGACAACAAACTATATAGATATTTGATCACAACACACTAAGTAGCCTTTTATAAAAAATCACAATTGATTCAATGCTTATAAACATATTAAAAACATGACAGAGAATCACAAATTGTACAATAATGTCTTTTAAAAATTTAAGAAGTAACCTTTTTAGGACATGATATCAAACTCCACAAACAAACTAAAAACTTTCAATAAGCTAGCTATTCTCCTTTGAACAACCTTTGGAAATAAGAGTTTCTTTTTTTAGGATTTAATAATTATTATAATGATAACTTCCTTTTTACTAAGTACATCTTCATTTGTTCTTGAATATATGGAGTTAAAACTTTCAATCAAATTTTTCATGCGTAGATTAGATATCATTTTGCTACTTTTTTTAATCACATATTTTTTCTATCCAAAATCAAAAAACGCGTTAGTATGTTTTATATTTTTCATGTATTTAATTTGTATACTAATGAATACTAAATATCAAATATTATTTGATGTTAGATTATAAATGACAGTTGATTAGAAAGAAAGACAAAATATTTATTTTTTGGCTTTACACAAGTATAATAGGGCGTTAAAACATAGGATTAAGTCAACTTCCGTTCCTTGTTAGCAAAGATTCACCTTTAATCAACCAACAATGTGCACTTGCAAGAAGATTAAAGAATATCAAGCATATAAAGACTTTAATCACAAATAAATTAATTCTAAAACCTAGAACATGCTCAAGATCCAACTACACCACAACCATCCCCTTAATGGGGAAATTACTCACTAATCATGCTAATAACAAGATTAATTAACCAATAATCAAGAATAAACATGATTAACAAGCAATACCAACAACTAAAATAATAATCAAAATAAAGCAAATAAAATAGACGAGAGAGAGTTAGAGATTCTCATTAATTGAATGTGAAAATCTACAAGCAAGATTGATCAATCTTCCTCTTCAATATCCAAGCACAATAATGATGAAATCCTTACTTTCTCTCTCTAAACTATCCTAATCCTAACCTAAATCTAGAGAGAAAAGTTCTCCTAAAAACTAATTCGAAATTAGCGAGTTTTATCACGTTGTTACGTATGATTTTTTAGATTTAACTAATAAAATAAAAATAATAACAAAAAAATAAATTTAAAGACAGTAACAAATCTAATATTTTATACAAGTGGGTTCAAATTCAATAAAAATAAATAAATTATATTATAGTTATTTATTAATTAACAAATTACATGAAAGTATATATATATTACATTGGACATGTCTTCAAAAAAAAATATTGGACATTGACACATAAATTATTGATATTAATAAATTAATTATAAATTTATATAAATTATTTTATATTAAACAATATAATATTTGTTTTACAAATTTAAATAGGGTCATTACGTTAAATAAAGATTCGTCTCTATTTAAAGATCAATATATAACTACTTTATATTATAAGACATATCAGCAATGACACATTTCATATTCTGATGTGTCCTTAATCTTTTTTTTTGAAAAAAATATTTAAAAAACAAATCTTTTTAAATATATAAAATATTAATTTCCTACAAATTAAATTAGAAGATTTGATAATTTTTTCCAAAATAAAATATAGTATATTGACAACTATAAACTTAAGGAAAAAAAAATACAAATAATATTCTTAACATAATTTGTTATAGTCTATTTTTGTAGGAAGACATATTAGGTACTATATTCGTTTAATAAAACAATATTATAAATTTTTTTGTTTGATTTTTGTTAGTTATATAATAAAAGTTACGAGTATAAACTTATATAATAAAATGCGAATATCAATTTTTTTTATTACTATTTTTTTTTTCCTTGAATAATTTATGAGTATAATTTCAATTAATTAGTAATCTATTGAACTATAATACTTGCCAAGAACGACACATTTTAATTATTATTCGTGTGATTTTTTCTGTCATTTTTGTTGATTTTCAACATTCAATTGATATGAATATACATACGAAAGTAAAAAAATCTAACATAGTGTTAATATTAAAAATAAATATTGAAAA